CTCTTGTGGGACAGTCTTATAGGACACTCTTGTAGGAAACTCTTGTGGGACACTCTTGTAGGACACTCTTCTGGGACACTCTTCTGGGACACTCTTGTAGGACACTCTTGTAGGACACTCTTGTGGGGCACTCTTATAGGACACTCTTGTGGAACACTCTTGTGGGACACTCTTATAGGACACTCTTGTGGGACACTCTTGTAGGACACTCTTGTGAGACACTCTTGTAGGACACTCTTGTGGGACACTCTTGTGACACACTCTTGTGGGACACTCTTGTGGGACACTGTTATAGGACACTCTTGTAGGAAACTCTTGTGGGACACTCTTGTAAGACACTCTTGTGGGGCACTCTTATAGGACACTCTTGTGGGTCACTCTTGTAGGAAACTCTTGTGGGACACTCTTGTGGGACACTCATATAGGCCACTGTTGTGGAAAACTCTTGTGGGACAATCTTGTAGGACACTCTTGTGGGTCACTCTTGTAGGAAACTCTTGCGGGGCACTGTTTCGGGACACTCTTGTAGGACACTCTTGCGGGACACTCTTCTGGGACACTCTTGTGGGGCACTCTTGTAGGACACTCTTGTAGGAAACTCTTGGCGGGGACTGTTTTGGGACACTCTTGTAGGACACTCTTGCGGGACACTCTTGTAGGACACTCTTGTGGGACACTCTTGTAGGACACTCTTGCGGGCCACTCTTACGGGGCACTCTTGTGGGACACTCTTGTGGGACACTCTTGTGGGTCACTCTTATAGGACACTCTTGTCGGACATTCTTGTGGGACAGTCTTGTGACACACTCTTATAGGACACTCTTGTGGGTCACTCTTACAGGACACTCTTGTGGGACACGCTTGTAGGACACTCTTGTAGGACACTCTTGTGGGACACTCTTGTGGGACACTCTTGTGTGACACTCTTGTAGGAAACTCTTATGGGACACTCTTGTAGGACACTTTTGTGGGGCACTCTTATAGGACACTCTTATAGGACACTCTTGTGGGACACTCTTGTGAGACACTCTTGTGGGACACGGTTGCGGGACACTCTTGTGGAACACTCTTGTGGGACACTCTTGTGGGACACTCTTGTGGGACACTCGTGTCGCGACACGGTCTGCCCACACACTAGAAGCAGTCACGCGAGCGTTTCGTACGAGACTTCCTCCAAAAGTCACGCTTCGAGGCTGCAACACGAGCGTTTCGTACGAGACTTCCTCCTAAAGTCACGCGTCAAGTCTCCAAAACGGAGCGTTTCGTACGAGACCTCCTCCAAAAGTCACACGTCAAGTCTCCAAAACGAGCGTTTCGTACGAGACTTCCTCCAAAAGTCACGTGTCAACTCTCCAAAACGAGCGTTTCGTACGAGACTTCCTCAAAAACTCACGTGTCAAAGTCTCCAAAACGAGCGTTTCGTACGAGACTTCCTCCAAAAGTCAAGCGGAAACACCCATCGGAGCACACATCACGCAACCCTGCCAAGCAGTTTCGCGATTCCAGCCCCTCCAAACGACACCCGCTCACACTCCAATCCCAATGTGACAACGACATTCACCTCTACCATAACTCACGACCTCGCGATTCCCTGCGCCTGCCACGAATCTTTCCGCATCCACACGTCTAACGCGCACAAAGTACTGCGCCTGCCACGAAATATCAACTCCGTCACACCTCGCAACCTCACGATTTCCTGCGCCTGCCACGAAAATCGCACTTCCACATCTCAAAATCAGCACAAAGTACTGTGCCTGCCACGAAAAATGAGAATATCGTCTCACATGAGCTTCAACAAAATTTGCACCACACCACACGTTTAAAATGATTTCGATTCGTTCTGAGCACACTCCCATCCACCAAAATCGCCATTTCAGCTGAGACTTGTCACGAAAACAGAGCTTCGATGCCACACCCTGAAATGCAAATCCCAATGGCACGGCCACATCCAACACCCCAAAAACACGAGTCTCCAAACGCTAATCCCAAATGGAACTGCGCAATAAACTGCGGATCTCTCAAACCATTACGCCTATACAGCGAAATGCATCACGCTTCTTGCGCGACATGTCATTTTTATGTAAATCACAATGGAATACCGTCGCAAACTGACACGTAACACGTCCATGGAAAAAGTCACTTGCAAAAGCTTCCCCCAATGGCAACGCCTTAGCGTCCTACTGCGAACGTTGCGAATATAGTAATAACGGATCGCGAACAAGACTCTACCCCCAAGAGTTAAACGAGAACCCTTCGCTACGCATTCGGAAAAAAAGAATCTTCCTATAGGGCTCTTTTTTTTGCGCCTCTAAAAATATTTCTTAATTTACATCGAATTCTTCCCAATGATATTTAAAAAAGATATAATTACCATAAATATATATAAAATAAACAATATTATATATAAATTCAAAACATTCAATTATCATAAATCATCAAATACATATAAAAATAATATTTCATTGTCGAAAAATTCATTGTATATATCCAATAAAAATATAAATTTGCCGCATTAAAAAAAACATCGATTCATAATGTTTCAATATTATAAATTTATGTATTAAAATATATTATATTATAATTTAATATTTATATATACATTTCTTTAAAATTAATTTATTCAATCAAATAATATTTATTATAATAAAATATGTATAAATATTTTATATATTTCAATATTTTTTATCGATAAATTAAAATTATATATCAATTCAATTGCCCTATTCATAAATATATATAATATATTCTTTAAAGACAAAAAATCATTCATATTAAATAATCGATATATATATTCAAAATATAAATTCATTATTTTTAGATCTTCGACCTTCGAATTCATGTATAAAATGAATAAATATTCTTTAATAATCATAAAACATAGTTAATTATTATATAGTATATTTAACCAATATTTAAATTCGATTTTTTTTATTTATATACATTAATTTATATTAATAATATATATATATATAATATAAACAAAAAAAAATATATAAAAACAATATAAATATATATATACATATTACACGCCGAAATTACTTCAAACAAATTTAGTTATATACAAGAATATTTATTTATATATATTTATATAAATATTCAATTCATATATATTATACAATCAATTTATATAATTCAAAGGTTTCGGGCCAATTATTAAATAATCGATCCGTATGACCCAGGTATCGCAAAGCATTGCGCCTGCCAAAAGAAGGCACCGCAATCAATGATTGGGTGATGGATTTATTGTAGTCCTTCAATAAGTTCTTTCATGGAAGGTTGAAAGATATGGTAATCTTTTTGTTCAAAATCATCGACGAATCAAATTAACACCTGCTTCGACACCACACATCTCACTGTCTTTGCCTTTGCTTTAGGAGCACGCAAGGCGATCAATTGCGACGGTCATCAACATGCTCAGATTCGCCTCCCTTTTTGGTAAGTTCACCCCCGAACATCCTTTTCGTCACTTGTCCCCACTTATGTCAGAATTGTTAAGATGTTGACACAGACGGTGCACTGTTCATCTACCCGATCACGATCACGTCTAGGCCCTATAGATCAAGGTCCAAGACAATTCCTCTTCTCGCTCACCCACCGGCCTTCCGAAAAATAAAGGAGTCGTATTCGACTTCCAGCGCTGTTTGTTGCATGACCGATAGGTGTCAGATTGATCAAGTTCGATTCCAAAGACTATAGCTGCTGCAAGCATTGTCAACAATATCATATTGATTATTTGTTGTGAGACCTATTTATAGCTTTGTTTTGTGTTTTGATGATTCTTGATGCTTTTTGTAGCGCAATCAATATCTACCAGTGAATCGTAGGGAGTGCAGAACATGCAACGATTGTACTACAGACACTTCAATCTTTGAATGAAATGTTCCACTTCGGCGACGCGGTCCTGCGAGGCCTCGGCAGAAGAACTTTCAGACATGCAAAAATGGCATCAAAAATCCATAGTGTAGACTATCTGGCATGAGATGTGGCAAAAGCACATATGATTAAACCACATGAATGTCTCTTTTGACTTCTCTGTTGTCACCAACAAAAAACAATGGAAGTATCCTTTGAAGCGCTGCATCTTCACGACATCTCCATTGCTGAACGGATTCGTCCTTGAGATCCCTTTTGATGTCATCGGATCTTTCGGAGTAGCCCTGAATCTCCTAAGCCATCCACGCTTTGTGTGCTACTTCAAGCTCACAGCCCTCTTCTTTTCTCCTACAGCCCTCTTCTTGGTAGAAATCTCAAAACGCATCTGTAATATTCAGGTGATGAAATTACGCAGTACTTAAGAATAGCACCTTCCATTAATTAAGCACTCAGTCTGCCATCCTGTCCTGCCGTAGCTTTCGTTCCTGTTCCTCAGACCTGACGCAGGCTAAGAGGTTCTGCGCTTGACGTGACGTAGCAAGAAATTGTAAGCCCACAAACTGGGCGTGGCTGGCGATTCCCACTTCGACGCAAACGTGCACGCGCAAAAAGTAACCAAACATTTGCAGAGCGCAGGACAAAATAGTGCGTCGTACTACGCTGTTGTTCTCTGAAAAGCGTGTGGTGTGAGAAAACGGCTGGCCGACACACAGGGCCAACGCATTCGGCCCTAGGGCAAAAAGGTTAGACGAGGTTATGACCCCAAACACTCTGCAAGCGATGCAAAGCATCACGTGCGCTAGTAAAACCACACAGCACAACAACGCCTCTTAATTAAATCTCATTAAACAGAACGGCAGGCCCTGAGAGTGCAGTTTTTTGCTATTTTCCATTTGTTCTTAGGCCTAGATTTTACTACAGAAACTGTACTCCCAGGGTGGCAGCAGGCAAGGCAAAACAATTTTTGGATCTAGAGTGGTACCAAAAACATTGAAACAATCAAGAAAAAACATATATTTTCAGACTCTCTGGAGGGGGTGGGTTCCCAGCCAAGATTTTCTGAATATTCTTTGTGGCAGCAGGCAAGGCAAGGCAATATTTGGATCCAGGAGGTGCCAAAAACATTGAAAAAGACAAAAACAAAAAACAACAATAAAACTATCTGAATATTTTTCTTATTTTCCACTGTTTTTGTGATATTTGGCAGCCGTGTCTGCTATTTTTTCACTCATCCTTTGTCTTTCGGTCTGTTTCGCAAGTTCGGTTTACAGGAGCCAATCGCTAAACGCTGCAACTACGAACATACTGGGCATGAAGAGCAAAAATATCTAAACATAAATATTGCCAGGAGTGCACTCTGCAGAAAATTCTGCACTTTGTGAGCACTTCTTGAAGAAACACGCTAAAACACACCAAAAAAACATGTTTTCAGAAGTTTGTCCTCTGTGGGAGGGTTCAGTCAAGACTCTCATAAATATACATTTTTGTATTTTCTCAAGGTGTTTTTGGCTTTGTCCCATGGGGTCTGTATTTATGTGTTCCATAAAAGGGTTGATATTTCAAGTGGCAGATAAATATATATACATATATACATATATGTGTATATATATAGCATAAAATTAAAGAAAACACACACCTCTAGACAATTTTATTTCCCAGAGGTCCCGAGGAAAACTATAAAAATAAAAGCTTTCAAACAAAGCTTTTCAATATAGAAGTGATCAATCCCAGAGATCTGGAGGTAAGTTTGTGCAAAACACTTCTACTTCATATATGTTCATAGAAAGCTTTTTAACATAGAAATATGTTATTCACAAAGATCCTTTCTTGTGAAATACACAGCTTCCATATATAATCTTTAAACAAATCATCATGCCCAAAGATCTTGGGGACAGCTTTTGAAATGCACCCTTGGATATTAGTCTTGAATATAGAAGTGATCAATCCCAGAAATCTAGGGAACAGCTTTTGGAAAAAACACTTACAATGTAGAAGGCAGCTTTAAATATAGAAATTGTTATTTTCAGAAATGAAACGGTAAGCTTTAAAATAAGATATACATGCTTAAATATGGAAATGCTTATTCTCAGAGATTTAAAGGACAGCTTTTGAACAAAACGGCGTTCAACTATAGCGTTTTAATGTACAAACTTCAGAAAATCCAGAGGTGAAGGGGAAAACTCTTGAATTAGCAGCTTTAACATATTTTGTTATCGAAGGGATCATTCCAGAGATCTATATAGAGGAAAACCTTTGACATAGAATTTTTTATACAAAGCTTTCTTAATATAGAAATGATTATTCCAAATATTACTTGAACAAGTCTATGTCTACCCAAAAGGCAATGTTTTGACCTAGTTCCCAGCACTCACAGGGCATAAAAACACTGTAAAGCATATGATTTTATATCATTTTGTCTTAAACTCACACCCCCAGCAACACCTGCTCTCTGGAATTAAATTAGACTTGACCAAGAAGCTAATTTTCACAATCAATATATTATATATAATTTTTTTTGGCTTAAAGAACTATGAGATTTGACCCTATAGTGGTTATGCCAAAGTTTTACTATACCTTAGTCTAAAGAAAATGTTAGCTTTTGCAGTAAAGGTACCCTTCTCACACCCAATTGTCTTGCCAAACTCTCACCTTCTAGCTCTGCCATCACGAAAAAGCCAGACTCAAAGGCAACTGGACACTATATAGATGCTGATAAGCCACAAAACTATACATGTCAAATGACATAATGGAATTCTAAAAATAGCAAAAAAGTGCACTCGCACAGCCTGCCACTCTCTAACTAAAAGACCCTAACCTCACTCTGTAAGCGATGCAACGTGGAGACCAAAATAGGAAGCAAAACGGATTAAACAACAAAAAGGCACCAATCGCGTGTCATCGAATGACCGAATGATTAAATTGAGGTGAGGGGGAGGGGGGAGTTTATCACCAATTCATCTCGCGCTTTTTTCTTCGCACCTTTCATCTCATAGGACCACTTCATGTCCACAAAGGTTTTCTGTGGGAGTAGTGATGTTCTACTGGATTACCTGATAATTGGCAGTCAAAGACTATTTAAAAAAAAAAACGCAAACCATGCAATAAGGGCGATTCGTGGACAGCCTTCTTTCGCACGAATCGTGTCCATCTCCCTTTGAGGCTTCCAAGTTCTTCATGTAATTTGTTTGAGTTCTTCGGCGCGCGTTTTCCTCAGCTTTACTGCTACCAAGACCCCCAGTGCTTCGACTTCGCGCGTGCGATCCGCGATTTGAATGCGCAATGGTCAACGTTATGAGACTACTGTGTTAACGAGGATGGACAGAAGGACTTGCTTGGAAGGAGGTCAAGTGAGTCAGCCTTCTGACAGGCGCGTCACGAAGCGCAAACTAGGAGACAAACCTGATTCTATAGAGGCAGGTTTCAGCATAATATCATGTCATGTCCTAAGTTGGCCGAGCCTCAAGTTGGTCGAATCCAACGTCACCTCTCAAAATGTGTGTTGTATAATTTGCATATCTTCTCGTTTCCTCTCTTCCAAGGGACCTCGGGTGTTTTGCAATCCACCTATTCTGACACCCTTCTCTTGCGCGTGCCAGCCAAACCAACCACGGGCCACACAAGCGATATATAACAAAAAAGGATGCTAAAACGCGCCTGCGATTCAACTCTGTCTTCACCTCTTTGGCTTTTTCATCCAATGCATTCTGAAGCTTCTCCTCTGAGCCCTGTCACAAATTGAGACAGCCGGCTGAAATAATCGAGGCCAAGGGTCAACCTTAATTGGTGAAGTCCAGCTTAAGTAAGGTATTTGCCTTGCCACCTCCAGAATCAACAATACAAGTGTTAGGAGGACTCTTCTTAGTGTGTGAAGTGTACCAGTGAAATCCGAGGAGCATCACTGCTCGACAGAGCTATGTTCACTCAACGCCAAAGCTTTGAAGAAAACTCAATGCCACTGTGCGAACACCAGCTAGCGCCTTGATACGATGTCTCACATCATCCTCCAGCTTGGCTCCACGCTCCTCCAGTTTGGCTCCACGTTGTCTTGCGTCCTCCTCCAGTTTGGCTCCACGTTGTCTCGCATCCTCCTCCAGTTTCGCTCCAAGTTCGCGAACCTGCCAACACAGTGTGTCTCAGCGCCACGCGCCGCCTGACTTGAGACTTATGGTGTGACGTGCGCCAGGCTGGGGGCGCATCCTTAGAGTCGCTCATGTTGAACAATGAACAACCAACCTTGGGCAAAAAAGAATTAACAAATACTGAAGAACATAATGTAGGCTGTCAAGCAATAGAACTGGTTTTACATCTCCATATGGGGTTAATTGTATGAATCAACAGTCAACATGAGGTTCAAGGATGCTTCAAGTACACCTCGCCACTCAGCCTTTTCAAGCGAACTTAACTAAGTTCGGCAGTCTGGCCTAGTCTTTTAGTCTTGGAGCAACTAAGGCAAGCGAATGAATCTGTCTAACACAAGCCGCTATTTTCATCTCTTTTCATAATTCAAGATGCGAGATGTAGCTACGCGCATCTACAAACTACGCAAACTTGGCTGGGCAGCTTCGGTCCCTCGTCACTGAACGACATGGACATTCTTCTTGGGACCCATCGGAAGTGGCACCTCCCCTGTCAGGCTTGCTCTTGCCTGCCGCGCTTGTTGCTGCAATTCCTCCTGACTAGCAGCGAGTGCCTGTGGCGGAGCCGAGAACGACCTTCCAAGAATTCGAAACTTGGAGAGCAAAGAATTGGGAGCAAATTCCACCGCAGTCGTTCCACCGTCGTCGATGCGGCGTGCTGCAATTGTTTGAAAAACTCAAGAAAACTGATGCCTCGGCGCGCCGCCGGTGCGAATCTATCTGATCTGAAGTCTGCTTCATAGAGTCCTGAGCACAAATTTGTGACAGAAAATGTTTCGTGGATCACCTACAACTAAAATGAAGATCAAATCCAAAGCTCAACCACCATGGCACCAATCGAAAAACAACTCATGTGCCTAACATTTCCCCCTGCGTTCCCATGGCCCCGCAACGATCCAAGAAGAGAGAGAGAGAGAGAAGGGGGAGAGAGAGAGAGAGAAAGAAGGGAGAAGAGAAAGAAGGGAGAGAAAGAAGGGAGAAGAGAAAGAAGAGAGAGTAGAGAGAGAAAAGAGACAAGAGAGGCAAGAGAGAAAAAAAAGAGAGAGAGAAGAGAGAGAGAAAAGAGATAAATCAAGACATAAATAAAGAAAGATAGAAAGAAAGAGAGACAAAAGGAACCAAAGAAAAAAAAAAAAACTGATTGAATGAATGAATGAATGAAGGAAGGAAAGAATGAAATGAAGGAATGAACGAGCGAACGAAAGGAAGGGAGAAAGGAAGAGAGGGAAAGAGAGAGAAGAAAGAGAGAGAGAGAGAGAGAGGGAGAGAGAGAGAGAGAGACAGAGAAAAAGAAGAAAGAGAGAGAG